AACTGATAGCTGAATACTTGAATTCAACATTTCAAGTTTGACACTACTGCAATATCAAGAAAAAGAATAATAAAAAATATGATTGAGAAATTCTATTGTTAGTTATTATGATACGCTCTTTATTAACATTAAAAATAATAACGATGATGAGAAAAAATAAAAGTAGAAAAATCGTTTTAAAAAATACATATACCGATGTTTATTTAAATACATGAAAAAAAAACCAAATAATATGTAATATTAATTGTCTGTTATTTCTTGTAAAGTTTTTAATAAAATTTGTCTAACTGATCGTCCTAATTTTTGTACTTCAGTATTTGTATCATGAATAATAATAAAATCTAACCATTGTTTTAATTCAATAAAATAAGATTGTAAATCTTGATGATAAGAATTTTTTCCAATTGAAACAAGAGAACATGCATATGCATAAATAACAGCATGTCTAACACCAGGATCTTTATGTTGTTGTAATGTTTTTAATATATCTAATAATTGTTTAATCATATTATTTAATGATAAAGTATTTTGTGCATGAATACATAAACGACCTAAACAAGCTAAAAGTTCACATAATAATAAATAATCATTATCACCATCAATTAATGATAAATGTGGTGTTGATTTATCAATAAATGAAATTAATGGATAAAAAAAATGTCCAACTATATTTCCAAAATAATTTTCTTTAAAGAAAATTTTTTTTTCTGAATGATTTTTTATTTTATATTTTGTTTTTAATTTTAAACGTTTATTTATAATTGAACGCCATGAATCATTATCATTATTATTATTATCATCATCTTCATCTTCATCTTCATCTGAAATAAATAATTCATTTTGAATTTTAGTTTGAATATGATCAATTTGTGATAATTTTTTTGCTGTTTCTTGAATTATTTTAAGTATAAGACTTCGTTGATTTAATGTATAATTTTTTTCATAAAATTGTTTACATAAATAATCACTTATTAATAATGGATAATTTTGACATAATGTTATTAAACCATTTAATTGTAATTCTTGAAAATTTTCAATATCAAATGTACTATTATAATTTAATAATATTCGAACTAATTCTAAAGCAACTTCTTCACATTCAATTTTATACATTTCAATTAATGATGGTAACATATTTAAAGCGGATTCTAATTGAGGAATTTTATCTGTTGCTATTAAATTAGCAAGACATGTTCGAATATATGCAGGTTTTTCAACATCAGATTTAACTCTATCATGAGAATAATCATAAGATTCAAATTCACTATCAACATCATCATCATCATCATCAATCGATGCATCATGAAGAATAATTGCATTCGTTGAAGATGTTGTTTTTTCACTTATAGATACAACGGGTTCTATAAAAAAAAAAAAGAATAACAGTTTTATTCTATTTGTTTATTTATTTATGGTCTGATAGAATAAGTAACGCTAATCGGTAGCCGATTAGTTTAACCTTAGACTGACTTAGTAGTATGAAAACAGATGTGCATCTGCATCCGTCTGTCTCTGTAATCTAGTAATCACATGTTAACTATGATTTAGATGATCATAAATAGGGTTTGAAGGACCACACGGTTGTTTCAAAACGAGCAATAAAATGCGAAAATTTCTCGAAAACACAGGAACAGTGGTCAGAAGAATGATACATGTGATGACAAATACAGACAAGATCATCATATCTATAGCGTTTTGAACACTGTGTACGGTCACTCAGGCAGCATCTATGATTGTGAGGAGCATTATTGTGAGCATTTTGAGCATATTTTTGTGCTTTCGAGTCATATCTTTGATAAATCAATGGTCAAATATATCGCATTTGTGAACATTCAGAGTGTCTTTATGGATTTTTTGATAATATCTTTCGTGATGTAGGCAGTAGTTACGGTAATTTATTTCACATTTATCCTCATTTCAACCAAGTTATCGACCATATTTAGCATTAATTCATTCGTACCATTAATATGGTCACTGACAACAGAGACGGCACGAGTGTACGATACACAATGGTATAAATAACCACGACTATGGTTAATCATACTATGAGTGCATCACTTGTACTGTGGCAATGGTCATTTGCGTCATTGAGAGAGCCATTCGCGCCATCAATATGGTCATTTGACTCATCAATGCAGTCATCTATACCACGATTTTAGTCTCTTGTACCAAACCTGCCGCCATTTGCCCCATCAGAACAATCATTTTTTTTCATGAAAATAGTACTTTGTACCATGAGAGTGATCACTTGTACCAAGTGTTCTAGACAGACACAGATGAATTACCGTTTCTAGATTCTATACTTTCAATTTAGGGAACTGAAAAGCTTTTATATGATTTGTGCTGGTTTCATTCATGAGAGAAAAATGTTGACTGACCTTTTTTCACTATAATTTCTTGATGTTCATCATCAGATAATTGTCTATCATTTAATGTTTGATTAATTTGAGCTAAATTTTTTAACATTTGTACTTCCGGATGATTTTTATCATATGTATCAAATTGAAGTTGATTTGATTGTGAAAATAATTGACTATGTTGAATAATTAATTCGGCAATAACTTGTCCACGTCGTCTAATATAATCAAATGTTGATTCAAGATGTATACGAATACCATTTAAAACACAGATTATAATTGTATCTTTATCATTATTCAATCTAATTTGTTTATTAAATGATAAACAAATAGCTATAGATTGACATATATATAAATGTTGATTATTTGAAGAAAATCGAATAAAATTTTCTTGTGACCATAATTGTAAATAACGTTTAAAAACATTTTCAAAACATTTTTCTAAACGATTAATTGACATTGTTAAATAAATAAGTATTGTTCGTAAAGTATCAATTGATAATTGTTTAGAAAAAATTAATCTATCAATTAAATATGTTTCTAATAATGGTAAATGAATAATACGATCACTAAGAAATAAATCAAGTATATTTGCATTACCATGTTCAATTGTATATAAAAGTATATCATCGATTGGTTCTAATAGAAAATATTGAGCAAGTCGTAACCATAGAGAATCATTTAGACATTTTTTAACAAACAAATTTTTATATAATGGACGCCAAATATATTCAGTATAACCTAAAATTAGATGTTTTTTTTAAGATCAACTTTCAGCTGTAAGATCAATAACTGAATGGTACCAATAGAATTCAGAAACAAATGCATAAAAACAATATACTCGATCAGGTTCAAATCTAATAATTTTCCTTATTAAACTCAAAAGTTTTCGAAGTTTTAAAGGGGTCTGTAGTTGCTTCGACAGATACAGTGGATGATCCTGGACTACTAGTAGCCACCGATCTAACATTCAAGTTAGTTACCTATCTGTAGGATTTAAAAACTTCACTGGAAAGAGAAAAGACATATTTTCTGTTTCACTCTATATGGAAGAAAGGCATTATATGTAAGATTTAAATAGTCTATGATAGTTATATTTTACCTAATTTTGCAGCTCGATGAACAAGTTGAGAAAGAAAATTGACATTTGTATCAACTTGTGCTATCATATTTGGATAATGTATAGTAATTAATTGTTGTTGTATATATTGACTTAAACGATGAAAAAAATTTTTCGATTGAAAACATATTGGAATATTTGTCATAAAAATATTACTAATTCGATCAGGTAAATGAATAATAAATCCAATATCTAAATCATTTTCAAGTTCATATAATAATTTTTGATAATTTTTTTCATATAAATCAATTAATAAAAAACTAAAAAAATCATTAAATGAAATTTTTAATTGATTTAATAATAAATCAATTAATTGTTTTTGTTTTAATAGAAATGGTGTTTGAATAAAATATTTATGAAAATGTATTTTAATTTGTTTTATTTGTTCAGGTGTTTGATTAAACCAATCGGATAATTTTCTTAAACATAAACGAACGAATTTTTCTTGTTCAATTGATGTTAAATGAAGATTTTTATTAAAAAAATATTCTTCAATTAAATTTTCAATAGATAAATATGAATTTGATGATGAAATTTCTTTTAATACAATATTTAATCTTTCAAATGACATTTTATTTTTAAAAAATAACAAAAATCTTAAAGAAAAAAAAAAAGTCACATCAAATATCTGATAGACAAAGACAAAATTTTTCAAATAAGATTTATTTATAAAGAAGAATCAAATTTTTTCAGATATATTTGTTGTTAATATAGGTTGAATACCAATAGGATTTGTAAGAGAAGTTTTACTATTTAAATTAACATAAAGTGGAATTAAACGTGGTGGAGGATATTCAGCTCGGCCATCAAATTCTGGTGCACGTTTTTCTTGTTGTTTTCGATTCCACATATCTCGTAATGAATTAGCTACAAAATAAAAACATTTCAATTTTTGTTGAACTTTTATTATAAAGATTTGTAACCTGCAACAACTTGTTTAATATCATTAAATTCTGTCCATACACGACCATTCATTTTTTCATTATTTTCTTGTAAATTTTTGTCACGTTTTGTAATCATTGTACTAGTCGATGATGTTTCATCAGTAGGAAAAATAAAATCAATTTTATTACTAAAATAATTAATATCAATTAGAAACAAAAAAAAATTATTTATTTTTTTTCTATTATTTTACCTTTGATAAATTGATGAATCATTTTCAATGTCGGTTTTTCGTCGATCAACAATATTTTGATAAATATGACGATGACTATCAGATGTTTCTTTATAACCACGAACAAAATATTCAATTTCACGCCATAAAAAACGATATGCTTCATCTCTATTAAATCAAAATTAACATTATTATCTTTCAAATAACAAACTTAGCGAGATTTTCATTAGAATGAATCACTTTTTTGAATTTCAAAAAAGAAATTAGATTTTCATGTACTCCTACGAACTTCAATCTGAAATGATTAATGCAAGAGTTCGAGAAGAACGTATCTATTTTTCTTATATTTCAAATCATTATAGATTATACAGTTGAGCTTTTCATGTCATCATTTATGTTACGGCATACACCTAAAACGTACCATAAGACAAATTCTAAAGATATTATCTATATATAATCGTTATCTCAGATATTTTTTCAACTGTATTATGTTATCTATTGGTATATTCCCTGTTTTTCCTAACATCTGATATAAAGTGCACCGCAAAAGTTTAAGACACGTTTATTTTTGAAGTTTGTCATCGAAGATAAGTAGCAGCTAAGTCAAATCCAAATAGTGATTTGGATAGCTCTTGATATTCTCTATCGAATAGAATATATATCAAATTTTCAACATAAACTTTATCAAGAGAGTTTTACAGAAAACTATCTCAGGGAGATTCCTACTCATAGAAGATTTTGACAGAAAGATTTTTCAATATAAGCATCTCAAAGAGCAGAAAATTCTGAAGAAAATCAAGGATCGCCCGCGTCAGAAAGTTATAAACATTGGAAAAAATGAAAAACGCGTTTTTTCTAATCGTTATAACTTTGTGAGGGAATATCTTAGAGAACTGGTCGATCATTTATTTTCTTCAGAATATTGCGCTCGTTGAGATACTTCTATGGAAAAATGCTTCTGTCAAAATCTACTAGGAGTTGAAAACTCTCTTCACAAAGTTTCGTTTGAAAATCTGACGGATATTCTATTTGATAGAGAATTTCAATAGTTATCAAAATCACTATTTGGATTTGATCTAGCTGCTACTCATCTTCAATGAAAAACTTCAAAAATAAAAGTGCCTTAAACTTTTCCGGCTCATTTTATACTTAGGATTGGTCAAAAGTTGTAACCTTGGTGTTTAAAAGACCTTATCGGATAAAATGACCTATTCAGAATTGCAAAACCAAATATACTAAGTTGTAGAGTTTTTTGAGGCGCGTCGAATGGTATATAGGAAACCTTGTTTTCATAAGGCTTTGAAGAAACTAAAGTCAATTTATTGATAGACGACTACACACCCAAGCATAATAAGTTACTAAATATTGTGGTCGTTGGTTTTAGTCGAAAGTATTTGTTAAATATTTATTCTGACATACGATTTTGTAGAGTTTTTGACGAGCTACAATCTCATATCTTCGGTCATCTTGTCAGTGTGGATGTGTAGTCGTCTATTAGTAAATTAACTTTAGTTCTTTCAAAGTCTTATGAAAACAAGGTTTCCCATATATCATTCAATTCGTTTCAAAAAGCTCTACAACATTGGATATTTGCTGTTTGATTTCTGAATAGAGTATCTTATCCGACAAAGTCCTTTAAAGTTTTGGCCAATCCTAAGTGTATACCTGTTGTGTTCTAATCGAAACAATTCAGAAATAGGTTATATCAATAGTCAATGAGAATATGGTGAATTATTACGCTTAACTTGCGATCTTTTATAGCCTATGGTGCAAAAGTTTTGGTAGAAATTATTCGCTCTTTACGGATATATGTTTAGATTTTCCTTGTGGGATAAAAATGAATAATAATTAGTGAGTTTTGTGAAAAACTTCCAAATCGTGTCTGTAAAAAGCAAAATATCGTTTTTAACGTAGTAGTTAGTTTATGTCTTAGAGTAGCTTCAACTTAACATGATTGTAGAGTACTGAGTTCTCCATAAAATGATATATTACAATACGCGAAATCTCATCTATACATTTCCAGTAAGCGCGCTAGTTTCTATGGAAATCGACTGTTTCAAAAACTATTATTCAATATGCAAAAGGCTTATACAGTAAACTTTGGTGTAGAAAACTGAGCCATTTCAATCTATTTTCCATATTGAATTTGATAGGTTAGAATCAAAATCCAAAATAGTATTCTGTAGAAACACTATTTTCAACTTTTTGAAGCAATTTGATAATAGTTGTTCAATCTTTCCTCAGAAGGAAATTCTGAATATATATACGAAAAGATCTGATTCTGTCTCTAATCAGTTGTCTTAAAGTAAACTTTCGCACCATAGGTTTAATCAAGTCAGTAAACTTTAGTAGCATTGTGGATAAGTTTTATAATTCTTAGCGACATTTTGTTTTCTCTCTCTTCGATCGACTGCAATTAATTCGCAAAATTCAATATATTAAAAAGTAATTTGAACATTCTTCTACAAAATCTTTTACAGATTATCGAATGAAAAAAATTCGTTACTTATTCTTTGAATTTTCTTATTCGAAATGCAAAGATTCCATGAAGTCTTACAATTTTTTTTCGGAATTGTTTAGTAAAACAAAAACAATGAAATGTAGGAGGGATTTTTTCAAGATTGTGGGTTGCCCTCTCGACTCGGCTAATATAAAATGAATCATCATTTTAATATAACTATTAATTGTAATGTAAAATCAATTTACTTTTTTGCTTTATTAGTGACAATTTTTGTTGTATATTGAAAATTATTTGGTACTGGTAGTTGTTCACCATTTCTTTCCATATTATCAATATATTTTAAAGCTATAAGACATTTTGATACATCATCATCTGATAATTTTTCACGTAATATTAAACTTGTTAAAAGATTTGTTGGCTAAAAATTTAAATCAATAATAAACAAATAATAATAAAGTTAATTATTATACTGATGGCATATTGAATAGAATAGTTTCATTTGTTAATAATGGACATCGACGTGTATGACGTTCAAGAAGTCGAAGAGCTAAAAAAAAACAAAATAAAAAAAATTTTCTTTCAATATAAATAAATATTTACAATCTTCAATTGGAATTTTTCCACTTGTCATTGTTTCTAATGGATAAAGTGTTGTTGTACGTATTATATTAATAAAACTCTTTGAAAACAAAAACAAAAAAAGTAGAAGAAAAATCTAACGAAAGAAAAAACTTTACTTCAACACGTAAATCTTTTTCTAAATTATCATCATCAATTTCATCCATTAATTCTTCTAAATCATTTATTGACATATTATCTTTTTCATCATTAACAATATAACATGGACCTATTTTACTCATTGGATTATTTGAACCAAATGCAATAGCATGTATCATTAATTCTTGATTATGTGATATTATCATATGAGAAAAAAGTCTATTTGTTGCTGTTGTTGTTGTTGTTAATGATGATAAATCATTTTCAGATGTATTAAAACAATTTTCATCACCATATTCATTTATATTTACAGCACATTCATTTGGTATATTACCAAGTTCAAGTAAAACACATTTACCACTTAATAAAAAATTTGTTAAACATGCTGATTCACGACTATTTACATCTAATGGTGAAAAACGATAAGCTGAATATGTATCATAATAATCTAAAAATAAAAATCAATCATAGTTAGATTTCACAGATAAAAACTTTCGACTTTTCTATTTAATAAGAACTAGCAAGAGACCATGTATACTGCACGGATATTTTTTTCCTGGAAAGTTTCATATCTATCCTTTAGCCTAGATTCGATAATAGAGAATCAGATCGTTCCCATTATATATAGAGAGGCCTTATACTCTTGTGATATTACTTCATATAGCTTTATTCCATCACTCCCTTATCCCTTATATCTCATGTAGCCTCATCTACTTATCCACTATACCCTTATCTCCTTATACTCTTTTAGCTTTATCACTTATGCCCCTGTAACCTTAGCCTCTTATCCCTTTACCCTTATCAGCTTATAGCCTCATATTCGTGTAGCCTTATCCCCTTATTGTCCTCGAGAACCTATGGGCACCTCAAAAAATAGTTTTTTTACAAAATTAAATTCAAAATTTCGAAAAACCGATTACAGATTCGAACTCATTAACCTCGATTACCTTTGGTCAAACTTTATAAAAAATCAGTTTTTTTGTAAAAAATCCTTTCTTTGGTGAGAAAATCAAGTACACAATTTTTAGAAACATAGACCGATTTGGATCGGTCCGAAATCCAGACCGGTACCGATTCCATCTATGAACTATTCAACTATTAACAATTTGGGGACTTTACGATTATTTCTGTTCCATGGAACTCGAAGCATATCTGCAGGGTTTTTTGTCGTTCCGATCTGATCTGTGTTCCGTGGCACTTACAGTGTGTGTATGTGATTTTAGTCGTTCCGATCTAGTCTATATTTGAATAGTTTAATAGTCGTTAAGCAGCGAATACT